GAAGAATCAAAGCTCATCACAAGTAGCTTCGCCACAAGCAGAAGTATATACTAATATATAGAAGGTGCACAGAGTCATTCATGCAAACACTAAACACCATCATGGTAGCACACGATACTTAAATAATGCATTCAACTTTCATTAAACAACAGAAGATGTAACATAAAGCCCAAATATACATAACTAATAACAAAAACTATTAGAAAAATGATTATTTAAACAAAACACTTTCAAATGTGGAGTGTCATGCAGGGAATTCTGGGAATATCAGTTTACATTTTTTGACTGCAAATTATACATTGATTTGTTATTTTTACTTCTAAAAACTGTAAAATTAACAGCATTTTACTGTAAAATGACATTGAAATGTCTGGTTAGATATTTTACAGTTTTTCCCTGTATATAGTACGGGAACTTACTGTTAACCTATTAACAGTTTTTTTTCCGTAGCGTTTTTACAAAATGTTACAGTTAAAATTACACGTATTTTTTACAGTGTATGTACGATACTATAGGCTACAATAATATACTATACTATAGGCCTACTATACTAAACTATGCTATACTATATTATACTATACTATAGGCCTACTATACTAAACTATACTATACTATAGGCCTACTATATAGCTACTATACTATACTACAGCGTACTATATTTTACGATAGCCCCCCCACCCCCCAAATTTTTTTTATAAATAAATAAAAATGAAAGTTACAAAAAATTTAATTACAAAATAAATAAAAAATAGTAGTAATAATAATAATAATAATAACGACTGTTATGTGTAACGTTTCCTGTTAAGTCTATTTGATTCATTTGTATTGCCGGTGTTCAAGTGATGTAGTGTTGATTTCAGAATACTAGTGAGGATTAGCAGATTATCATGTTGGAATGAAACAGGTGCAGTTGTACTCAGCAAATCTGAGCTGCATGCAGTCGGGTCGTGCGTGCTCTGTCCTGACGTCAGCTGTTAATAAGACTGCCTCGCGCTATCGACTGTGATTTCACTGGAGTGTGGCGAGACAAAGGCATGCTGGGAAAATAGATGATTGTTCTCTCTGTCACTACAGGGGCCCTAATAAGAATATGAAAATAAGACAATTTTTTGTTTGATCATAGTACAAACGTAGGCTAGATGTGAAATAGATGAATAGAGTATAAAGCAGATATAACTGGTACAGGTAAAATGTTAATACGGTGGTCTAATATGTAACCACACACACACACACACACACACATGAGAGAGCGTGTGTGAAAGAGAATAAAAATCAGTATCAAATCTCTTTAACATCACACCTATTCTGTCTATGTTTAGCTGACAGCTCCTGTACTCTTATTGGCTGCAGGTAAACTGAGCCCTTCCCATTGGCTGTGAGAAGGCTGATGTTGATTGGCCTATTGTTTGCACTGTGCTCATTAGCACTAGCGTTAGCGTGTAGGCCTGATGTCAAAATAGAAACAGTGCACACAGCATACTGACACAGATGGCACAGCTCCCATTTTGGCGAAGATACACAATTCAGATAACAGAGATCAACTATAGTAAAACAAACATATGCATAAACACACATCTTTAAAAACTAAATGTTGAGCAAATAAAATGATTGTTAAAACAGGTTACAACACAAGGCTACCTGCAATGAGTCAAATAAAGGTGCTTCAAAAGGTTCTTCAAGCGATGCCATAGAAGAACCATCTTTGGTTCCACAAAGAACCATTCAGTCAAAGGTTCTTTAAAGAACCATCTCTTTCTTTCCTTTTTGTAATCTGAAGAACCTTATTTCGCCACAAAGAACCTTTTGTGAAACAGAAAGGTTCTTCAGATGTTAAAGGTTCTTTATGGAACCATTTAGAAAAAAAGGTTCTTCTATGGCATCGTGAAGCACCTTTATTTTTAAGAGTGTACATATGGAATAAAACTAATTTAGGAATAGTCATCCACAAATACTGCACAAACATACAGTGGCAGATAATTAATGGTTTCCACTGATTTTTATTTATTTCAACATAAATTTACTAAAGTTGTCTATAAAATAATCAGTACTTTAAAGTATTGTAAATACAAAGTGCTGGAAATACAAAATCAAAGTGCTGGAAATACAATATCAGTGCATTTGATGCTTTATATTAATCTATTTGATGGTGCTCATTTAACATTTCAGGAATTTATAAACTGTGCCAGGATTTATGATTGATTGCATTCCAGTAAAATTACTTTTAACATCGATGGAAGAAAAAGAAGAGCAGGAACACACCAGTCTGCATTCCTGCACTCCGAATTGGCTTACATTGGTGGGAACATATTAAAGGTAATTGAGGCAATCCTGATTTAGATCTGATGAATGAATTAATCAAAAAAATGAGTCAAAAAAAAAAAAAGTAGATTGGCATACAGAACTGCTTATAAATTGTGAATGAGTTTGAACAGGTTGTATGCTGGGAGCTTTAATAACATGATCAGCTATGCATAGAGGACTGAGCATTACATTTACAACACTTCAGATAGTAAAGAAAATATATAGATAAATTAGGGCATTGGATTTTCAACAGATGCATAAATATCTCACCACTCATTTTTAACCTTCAATGACTAATGAAGGTCTGCAGAGCGAGTGGGGCATTGATTATTCAGGGTATTATTAATAACATGTCAGCTACACATTCACAATACATATATCATATATAACATCTTCCAACGTAGCGCTGATAAAAATAGAAGTCATTCTGTTATTACAGTTGCTGAGAATAATGGAAATTCAAGTGATTAAAAAAAAAAAGATTCCTCAAACTAAAATAAATATTTTAAATAATTTTAGTTACAAAGGAAAAACCATCAGATTATCTTCCAAATATATTAAACATGAGGTTTGATTTGACAACTGTCATTATTAGCAGCTGAAATTTTGGAAAGGTATGTAACTATAAACAATGAACGCATCTATATCGATCTTGATTACCTCCTGATTGTTGGTTAGAATCATATTTGCTTTAATTCAATAATAATTATATTTAACTAATTTGATTTAATGTAATATTAGTGATTTTTGAAGGGTTAATCTGTCTTTAAATAGCCAAACTTGCCTCTGGAAATAAAAACCCGGGGACAGAAATTTGCTGTGAGAAAAAATAGAAGAGAAAGACATATTTAAAATACTGTTTTACTATAGACTTAAAAAATAAATAAATAAACATTCAGCAAGAAAAAAAAAAAGTAACACTGTCCAGAGCAATACTTAACCCTACACACTGCCAGAAAAACGTAAACACAGTCCAAACGCAAAGTAACCACACTGGTCTGCCTCTAGATTGAAAGGTAAGATATATTTATATATCTGTTCCATGTCAAATTCTGTCATTCTGACAAAATGCCATGCTTAAGCTATGTCTAAATAAATAAATGCTACCAAATGTGGAATTATGCAGACATTTCAGATGAAGTGCTTATGGCAGGACTTCTCTGTACAGGTAAACCTACAGGTATGTTTGAACATGACTTTATCATTTCAATAATATAACAAATTATGTCTAAAAATTATTAATCCAAACTCATGTGGCACATAGAACCTTTAAACCTGAAGACTGAAGGAAAGGGTCACGTCATGGAGCTGATGTATGACTTAACTTACTATGCATGCTGAATGGAGAACTGTCTCTTCCATACAGATTGCACTGTGTGTGTATTGTGTATAGGTTGACTTACCTGCCAAGTTGTCCACCTCTTTCTCCTGCAGTAGACTGACAGCGTCATCGTCCCCCTCGAGCATCAGCTCAGTCTCAGGGTTCTGGCTGACCACCGCCTGGCCACGGAAGGCCTTCCTCCCTCTCAGGGCCTCGTCTTCCTGAGGGCCTGCAGGGAGACAAGGGTGATGAAAACAGACAATATGTGTACTTAAGCACATTTGAGAATCACAAGGCATAACAAGTACATTAAAAATACCTATACAAATACATACATTAAAGATTATACTGTGTATAATATATATATATATATTTTTTTTTTTTACGAGTCCGAAGAAAATCAATAAGGCATGATAGATAAAGATTGTGGTTGCCAAGCAATGTAGGAACTTATTTTATTTTATTTTAAAGACCCATTCACAAAAACGATAACGCTAAAGATAACTATATTAGTGTCCATACCACCAGACAATAACGTTCTGTTTCTTATAAGCATGTGCTGCAGTTTTGGTGTCTGCCACTTTTAATGCTTGCAGTCTTTAACGTAGGATGGATTCTGATTGGCTGATGTTTTTATCATTCATCAGCTGACAAAAAAAAGGTTCTGAAAGGGATTCCAATTATATTGTTTCTCTGTGCCATTATTAGTTACAGTTGTGGTGTGGAATCTGATATTATTTTAAATTTAGACTGATTTTTAGAGCTATTTTAGAACTTTATCATTATCATTACAGTTAACATCCTTTGTGTCATTGGTCACCAAACTCGGTCTTGGAAGACCGGTGTCATGCAGAGCTTCTCAACACACCTGCCTGGAAGTTTCTAGTATGCATAGTAAGACCTTGATTAGCTGGTTCAGGTGTGTTTAATTAGGGGTGGAGCAAAACTCTGCAGGACACCGGCCCTCCAGGACAGAGTTTGGTGACCCCTGCTTTGTGTGAACAGGCATTAACACTTTATTTCTGGGATGTCTTGCTATAGGAACAAACTCTGTCTGGCGTGAATATCAGCAATGATGTCAAATTGTGTAGCACTTGTTATTTCAATATCCTGACTGGAACCACAGGCAAATTATTACGCTTTACTCATTTGTATATTAGACACATTTTAAGACACTTTAATTCTCCCTTAAAGAAACTCATGATAAAGCATGTGTAGACCCGTCTACATTTCCAAGTTCATTAGGCATAATGAAATCTACTCTCTAAATCTGGACTAAAACAAGATTTAACTGACAGCGCAATTAAGTGACTGCAGTTACCACCAAAGCTCATCACACAGCCTTATCAGAGGGAAAAAGAAAAATGATGCAAAAAAAGTGTGGAGTCATTTTTTTGTTTCGAACAAAAAAGATTCATTCATCAGCTTTAATTACTAAAGAAAAGAGAGAAAAATGGCAGTCAGGATTCGTCTTGTGTAAGGTCAGATTTGCCTGAGACACCTGAACAGAGAGATTCTGTGGAAAAAAAGGAAATAAGAAACGCTTATCAGAAATAGAAAGTGTCTGACACTCTTTTGACATGTTTCTTTTCAGTGCAGTGTTTCAAATGTTCCCTACACTCCCGTGGGGTTCATGTACCTTGTCTCAAAGCAGTCACGTTTGAATGCTGTCAACACCACTACACAGATGAAGAAGGAAAAAGAGAGGGAGAGAGAGGGGAAAAAAATAAAATAAAATAACATAGCGGGCTTCCTGCTCTGTCACATATCTCAGGAGCTTTCATCAGAGCCAAGGAAGAAGTGGGACCGCTTTTCGGAAATAGGGAGCGTGTAACATTTAGAGGCACAGAGCCAGCGAGCGGTCATGGATCAAAGCAGACTGAGGGAAACTTAAGACTGTAATTCTGTAAACCGTCATTATGCCTGCATTAAAGCAGGGAGAGCTGATGGAGCTGAGCTCCTGTCTTGACTGGCAAGATAAAGCTTAGGACCTCAGTGCAATGCATACAACATAAACCAGACGGATTTTGACAAGAAAATGATCCTGAGCAAATGGAGAAAGTTTGAGGGGGAAAAGTGAATTAAAAAAACTATTTAGCTTTATGTTTTAAACAAGAAGGCAACAAGAAGGCAAACAAAAAGTACATATATAAAGTCCCAGCGGACCTAGTCACTGCACATAGTCAGTTGTTGTATTTGTTGCTAAATTGTAGATGTTCTTAGTTCTGGCAGCCCCTAGTAACAGCTACAAACATCATTGATGCTCATATATCATTCCATGTTCACAATTAATCAATTTTATATCACTAAAAATGAACACTCTGTTGGGGGAAAAAAAGGTTGAATATTAACTAAACCACTGGATAACGCATCATATCAAAGATTAACATTAATCAACGTGTGCTCTTTAACATTATGGTCATCTATCCGTGCCAATAGCACAACCACCAGGTTATTTGTCATACATGCAAAACATAGATCAAAATGTAATTTTTCAATGATATCCATTTGTTTCTTCATTAGAACAAATTTGGAGAAATGTAGCACTACATCACTTGCTCACTAATGGATCCTCTGCAGTGAATGGGTGCCGTCAGAATGAAAGTCCAAACAGCTGATAAAAATATCACAGACTATTAAATAACAACATCTTCCATAGCCAATCCCCTATTGTCCTCTCACATCAAAATCCACAGGCACATTTGTTTAAAACTGTTTTGGTCTGTTTTTGCTTGTAAACAGTGCTTGATCTGTGCATATTTCACTCCTGATTCAGATTAGATGACTTTTTTATTGGAGAAAGCAGTATTATGGATAGAGGACTCGTATTTTAGTTGGAAAAAAATGATGTGAAGATAAAAAAAAAATCTCTTAATGCTGGATTTATTTAATACAAACATGCAGCTTTTCCCTTCACACAATGTTAATTGATGTACTAGAGTCATGTTGTGGATTATTGTTATGTTTTTATTAGCTGTTTGAACTCTCATTCTGACGGCACCCATTCATGGCAGAGGATACAATGGTGAGCAGGTGATGTAATGCTTCATTTCTCCAAATCTGTTCCAATGAAGAAACAAACTGGGCCTGGGGACCTGGGAGTAAATTTTCAGTATTCCTTTAAATCTTTCCCTGTGATCCTGGGCAAAACAGTCTGATTTTTTTATTGAATGAATTACTGTATATTTACGTTTCTCCTGTGTCATCCACACTGTAATGGATTCTGGCATCATCTTCTGTGCAAAAAATACACGCAGTGCTGCCACATAAAGTTAAGTTAGGAACTTGGCTATAATTATGTTCCTACCTGTTGGAACATCCTTCACATCGGGGGCGCTTTGAATCTTGCCTACAAAAGCTCACTAGGTTCTGGAACACAGTGATGCATGTTCCTATTTTGAGCAATGACACGGTACAGAAGCTTCCTGTTTTTTGTCTTAAATGGCAAGCCTTTGATAGAAAGCCTACATGGCCACATATATAAGATATCTAGTAACATAGACGATCATTTGTCAGTCTTAGGAATGAGGCTTGATGGGAACTCGAGATCGCTACAACTCAGACCTCCCCAGTGACTCGAAAGAACCCCTCACTTGTATTGTCAACCACCTCGTTTATCGGCACCCCCGAAGCTCGCTCACTGGACTCCTGTGAGCCCTCATGGTCAATAGTGAGGCTATTCAAGCCCAGCATGGCTTACCCGCTCTGCCATCAGAGGGTTTATGTTACCCAGGGCACAAATTTGGCATGACGCAGCAGGGTTGAGAAAGACCAGGTGATGGCTGGTCTGCCAGTAGTTGTGGGACTTGAATGATGTTCATGCTAAAAGCTTGGATCTGATCCATACAGCCGGGGGACGGGGAACTGTCATTGACTGACTGACATATGTATAGAATAACAAACAAATCAAAATGTGCTGAAGTAGCTCTAAACTTATATCCAATGACTAGCACAATATGATGAAAACCAAATATTTGAAGTGGGCTCAAAATAGCACCTTCAGTGGCGCAAAACTGTTACTTGATAAATGCAAGGAGAGTTGAGTAGCTTGGGGTTTTGAAGGCTTCGGAAAAGGAAAGAAAAAAAGATTCTCGTTTGCAATTCAATTCTGTCATTCCATCACTATGTGACTTCTTCAACACACCGATCTCTTTACTTGGCCTTTTTCTTTCAAAAGTCACATCAAACGAAAAAAAAAAAAACTGTGCATAGCTTGTGGCAAAGGAAATTTTACAGTTTGTGAAAGCAGCTCCCAAGGTGGAAATATTTAAGTGCTCGGTAGTTTTACTGTTCAAGTTTTTTTCAGATGAGCTAAAAGGCTTCAAATAGGCCTCCATTTGGTTGGTTATTGTTGCCCAGAGTCCATGTTTTATTTATGGTTGGAGCTCTAGAGTATTTGCCTTGCACTTTTATTGCCTCACTTGAGTCATGCACACTTGTAGCCTTAAATGAAAGAGCCCCAAAAATTAGGAAACAAATATATATAAAGAATGACATAATATTCCATTTAAGCAGTAATTGCATCTGATGTGTCTTTCCATTCTGGGATTGACAGATGAGATGCCTTTTGTAAAAATACAAAATGTACTAAGGGATTGTGAGATGTGTAGATGTATGTCTCTGCAGTTAACTGATCTATAATAACTCAAACAAAATGTTGCACATGTGCCATAAGTGCATTCGCACACAAACAATGTGGCAAAGTGGGCTTGCTGCGCTCGTCGATCAAATGCCAGGAATTCTGCAGTCAGCTCTGGAAAAAGAAACCCAACTTCGTAAAGTGAAACCGGAGACCCATGCAAAGTTTTTGTTATGGTTTTACTCATGTGAGAAGCATTTGGTATCACACATACAGAACCAATATGGCTGATTACAAGCCCCACATTGAATCCATATGCACAGAATTTCGCAGACAGCTCCACAGATTTAGAATTAGAATGCCTGCGTGTTTAAATATTTGGGCTAGTTTGATTAGGCTTTCACATGCTAATTAAAGGAATATTCCAGGTTCAATTCAATTTAAAATGAATCAGAAGTGGTATAAAGTTAATTATCACACAAATTCATTTTGATTCGGCTCTTGTTTTCTTAAAAAAATTATAATAATAAAAATAAAAATCAGGGTACCGGCAGAGATTTTAAAACCAAATTTAAGATTTATTAAAGACTTTTCATTAAAACCTGCATAAAGAAAATTAAAGAACAAACCTGAACAAATGCATCACTATG